ATGATCTGACGCTTCTTATTTGCTACACAGTATTTTAACAAAATCTCACAGTTTGTCGAATAAAATTTAACAAAGTCCAAAATGCTGCAGCCCATCCTTAATTTTTCCAAAAACACCCAGAAAACCTTCCTTCGTGATTATAGATCTTTTTGTAGCTTAAGAGATGTCCTCTTATGCCTCACCTCTCTCATTTTCTACAGAGCAAATCTGAAAGTTTCTTATTCACTGTTTTTGAACTGGTCTGAGAAAGGATTCAAGGTACCATCTGAATTCTGTATCCTCCAGCAATTAACCACTATCACACATGATGCTTGACAGGGACAATCACATTTTACTTATGCTTGACACTCCCACTCTATTATATACAAACACATCATAGCAAGTTTCAGACTTTTAAGTTACTACTATGAGCAAAAATTATTTATTTTCATGAAGTTACTAAAATAATAGTAATTATGAATATTTGTATAGTATTTAACAGTTTACAAAGCACTTTTACACTCAGTATACCCCTGGACTCCCCTGGAAATGCTATAAGTAGACCGAGAATAAATCATGCCTCCATTTGGCAGTTAAAGAAACTCATGATGAAAGGAGTACAGTGATTTGCCCTAAGTCATTCCACTGGTAAGTGACAGATTGGGACTTTAAAACAGGTATTCTGGCTCTCAAGTCAATATTCATTCCAAGAAAATAAATACTTTACCACTGACTGCCAACACAGTTTTCTATCTGCTTACTCTAAGGATTCTTTTTCCCTTAAACCTTTATGCCAGAAATGTTTAAATAAATCATCAGCTCCTCTAAAGTCTCTTCAATACAAACCTATGTTCATGAGCACTTACTCGGCAAATCTGCCAGGCACAGGGGTAAAAATATATGTCTCAGGGCCTCCACCTGGAGCTAAGTACATAGCTGCTTTGACTCTAAAATCACAGAAAACGTGGTATTCTTAATGGTTACATTTTAGACAAGAATCTTTGTAAAATGTTCTATATGTTTCCTTGCCTACCCTTAAACAGATTGATCCAAAACAATTTAACACTCTCCTGACTCAATACAAGAATTCATTACAGGGCATCAATCCTATAGCCAGGTCCTGTGTGTTAAGGGCTGATGGTTCAATGGCAAAAAAGCATGGACCCCAATTTCAAGGCATGCACAGGAAAGTTGGGGGGTCGTTGAGGGCAGACAAAGGGGGAAAGGGTAGTCACAACTGCTCCTATGATGTAAAAACAGGTGTCGAAGGTAGGGGTAGCATATGGTCCAGAAGGTCTTCAGGCAAAATCTAAGACATGCCTGTACAGATGACAGCAGCGTGAACCTGAAAGTAAGGAGGGAATCTCAGGAAATCTGTGCAATAATCATACACAGAATACGGTACCTGAGGCTAGAACTGAAGAAGGAGGAGGAACAGATGCTAAATGCCAGCCCATCAGGCCAGAGAAGAGAAAAAGGACACACTGCAGGACAGATATGTCAAGCACAGGAGAGGCCACCCCTGGAGAAAAGTAAAAGCAACTGTCCAAGAATGAAGGGTGGATGCAATTCGCCAGGAGAGGACAATCAGAAAAGGCAACCAGTGCATGCACGTGCACACGCACATCCAGACCTTACACCCCTGGTCATCCTTGCATTTTAAGTAAAACTATAAAAGTAAAAAACATAGAGTCTTCCTATGACTCTGATCACAAATCAAAGAATTTCAGCACTGGAGGTCATTCTGTCTAGCCTTGTGATTTTGTGGGTGAGGAAACTGAGGTGCACAGAAGTAGAGTTATTTGTCCAAAGCCATCCATATTAGTGGTGGAATAAGGACTAGAGCCCTGAATGTGTGTCCCTCGAATCTAGCTCTGCCACACACACTGTGGACCTTGCAATGAATACATAAATATGTGTTGCTTCTTTCTACCACCTTTCAAAGCTAATTTCAAATATATTATAATGATTGCTAAAATTAATCTTAATGATAATAAAGTTTACCTCAAAACTATTTATGTTGATAATATAATCTTTCATAAATCTACAGGGACATATGCTTAGAGCCATGTATACCATCTTTTCCTATAGTAGTTATCTTAGAATATGGAATGTAGATTAGCTGCCATAATTCACTGCTGTGTTTATTTTATCATTATAAATAATGGTCAAGGTTAAAGATAATAGTGACAATAGACATCTACCCTTAATGCAGGACCAGACCCTCCTCCCACAACCAGGCACACTGTGCCAGCGTCTCGGGGCCCACCCAGAGACCCAAGGCATGGAGTCGGGGATCAGACCTCCCTCCCCTCAACCAGGCACACCACGCCGCACCTCGGGGCCCGACTGGGGACCCGAGGCATGGAGCAAGGGACCGGATCCCCCTCCCACAACCAGGCACACCGTGCCAGCACCTCAAGGCCTGCCCAGGGACCTGAGGGATGGAACCAGGGACCGGACCCCCTGACCCCCAAAACCAGGCACACTGCCAAGTGCCAAGGAGCATATCAAAAAACATCACCTCCATGGGGGTGGCCCACCACAGCCACCACAATAACCATGGCTGTCGCAAAAGCAGCTAGATGCCACAACGACTACGCAGATGGTCCGCCAGCCACTGGAGTGCACTGACACAAGGAGAGTCACCAGCAGAGAAAAAGAAAAGAGGATGTCTCTCTCCACAAAGCCCATTCCAGAGTGACAGAAGCGGCATCTGCTCTACAATAATTTGGGGGGACCTGATCACACCTCTCAGCATTGGACAGATCATCTAGGCAACAAATCAACAGAGTAACCATTATATTTTCAGAAGGAGAGAAGAAATATCGGGTAATTAGAGTGTGGAGGGAGAAGGGGATGGGGTGAGAGTGGACAAGGGGCATAAAAAATAAGTATGATGTGTAACAATATATATGCTAGTAACATTGATTTGATCAACATATCTCAATGTTGAACCCCCAAAATATGTGTAATTTTGATTCAATAAAAGTTTTTTCAAAAAAAAAGAAATCTACCCTTAATGTATATAATGAAGCCTATATGCTTAATAATGACTACAGTAATTAACTATTGAAAATATACATGCTGAGAGAAAGACTTTGGAAATGAGCATAACTGTTCTCACCCATGAACAGCAGTGCTCTTTTCTAAAGACACAAGACTAGAATCAGTCTCATCCCTGACCAGAATATCCTTCTCTAAGTGATCTTTAGGACACAACATCAACCCATTACCAAGAAAAGGAAAGACAATCACCTTTCTTAATAAGAAAGCAGAGACTCCACCTAAATTCTCCTAATACTAAAAACTCTAATGTCACAGGCATCTTCATTAATTAATTTCTAACAAATCTCCAGAAAAGTTTTGCTGCTAACTTTTCAGATTTCTTAAGCAAATTATGGTATATAGCTGCCTATATGCTAGATTTTACCAACATGCTGAATTCATCCATTTCATTTCATTTTTTTCCACACTGAAAGTGAGTGTCAGGAAAAGCACTGAGAAACTGCCCAGGAGTCTATACATTGTTTAAAGTATTCTCCTACTCTCAAAGCTAAGTCCCAAAAGCACTAAAGGATGCCATTCCAACAGACTTTACAGTGGTGTTGAAGAAATTCAACAGACAGACACGCACGGGGCCTTAAGTGTGTGCTCACAACTAGCTCTGGATAAATACCTGAGTAACAAATAATCCCATCACAATGTACTATCACCGAAGCCTCTCCAAGTAGTCCTAGAGGACCTATTAAAATATTTAAGTGTGATTCATTTCATTAAGAGAGCAGAATGCCAAGAATTTATCAAATGAAACATACAAGTGAAGCATATTTTAAATAAAGTTTAACAGCTTCCCGCTAACTTTTCTTAGATCACCAAACTCCAAAACCATCAGGAACTGCCTGGATTTATCTTATACGTCTTAAGATATTTGCCCTTCCATTTAAATGTCATTTTTATCATTAGGAACTTTTCTACATTTAAGTTTTTTGGAGAATTTTCCAACTTTACACTTCACCAAATGATAAAACCTCAAGGGGAAGTAATGGTGAGATGGAGACAGACATTATGCAATGTATTTCAACACTGGATCAACAGAACTTGAAAGGGGCCGTTATCTTCAAAAGGGAGGCAAGACAGCTAGCGGGCTGGCACCAGCACCTGAAGAGCATCTTATGTTCACAACCATCAGAAAAATCATATTTCCTGGGCTGTCAAGTAGATGCTTCGTACGATTCTGTTATCCTGCATGTATATGTATTATAGAAAATAGAACTGATATTTAAACTCTCTTAAGACTAAACAACGAAAAGAAGCTGCAACATGAATTTGGCTGACCACAAAGGATACCACAGTGATAGTCAGTCAGGCTAATAATTAATTACGAATGGGTAGCCAGTATACCATATGATGCACTTTACAAAGGCACAATTTAAAATCATTGTTCAGAAACATGAGGGAAGAGGCTCACAAACACAGGAAATAGCAACTTAAGAATATTCATTAACATGAATATGATAATTTTCTTGTTCTTTTCCCCATACCATCATCCAAGGAGCACTAACAGGCCTCCTGATTCATCCCTCCTCTCCCTCTAGCCCCTGCACACGAACAGAATTTGTCATTATTTACAGGAAGCTGGACCAGAAGATCACAAAGATTCTTGAAACTCTACATAAAGGAAGTCACCTTCTTACTCCTATCTACTTCCCACATACCCTCCAATAAATGCTCAGAGAAGTAAAGATGCCAAACAAATTCTTCAAGACTAAAATATCTATCAATCCCTGGCTCCCAAAATGGTCTCAGGGAGCTTTATATATACAAGTCACTGCTAGGTCTGTGGTTTCTAAGCAAAATCCTGGGCAGAGTAGAAGATAATTAATTATTACTGTCAAAAACTTCCTTACAGCTCACATAAATCTGAATCTAACAAATCAAATAACGAAATTTCTTCAATATGTGTATAAAGCCCAAATTTCAAAACTCCAAAGCAAATGAATATTAAATGAGTAACTTGCCAAGACTTGGGCTCTCCAAAGTGGAGATAATTAATGCTGTAGAGGTCCATGTCCTCGGTGTGCCATGCGAATGTGGTTTTCCACATGCCAAAATAGAGATAAGGGGTATTTACACCCTCAATAGAAATACCACACTCTTCTTCAACCACATCCAAGACCGTGTTTAGGTGAGCTATATTCCACTCATCCACACCCTAGAACCAGGAGAAAGAAAGAGAGAAATCAAATATTAATAAACTAAGAAAGATAACATTTCCTATTCAAACTGCTATCTCCCAAAATTATTACACAGTATATTTCAATTTACTGAAAAATTAAAAATAAAGCAGTCATTATACAAGAGCCATCCATATATATATATATATATGGATCCATTATTATTAACCCAAGATTACCACCAGCATAACGTGGTTCCATATAACTACTGGAATAAAATTATCCTGAATAACTTCCTGATTCTAAATGGACATGGAAGTTAAGGTCCCATTCCTCATTTGCTGCTAACAAAAAAAGTCACTGGCTCAAAGCAGATGATCTGCTTTGTGCTTTCCATCTTTGTCTTGGTCTTCCTGTTTGTTTTTTGCACATTAATTTAGAGGACAATTCAATTTCAGACATCATCTCAAGAAACCAGTAGCAAAATATATCTTCTGTCATCCCTCTCTCATCCCTATCCATTTCAATGTTAGCATGTGATACATCATTTCCTAAAAATTTCACTATAATTATTAGAAAAACTCAGCACTATTCTAAACCACAGATTATTGTGCTTATACTGCTCCTTCAACTAAATATTAACCTCTTATATTGATGGGAAAATTTAAATACATAATGCCTGCTAAAAATACTTACCTAAACTTTGGTAAAACTGCTGTAATAATGTAGTTTTATAACAGTAACCCAACATGGCTGGTTATGGGAGAAGGAAGGCAGGAAGGAGGTCAGAGTCACTGGTATAAGAGTTAAGGTGATAGGAAAAGATTCTGGTCTTTTTAGAACTTACCAATTAATTATTAGCTCACAACTGCTTAGAAATTTTTACAAACTATATATTTTCCCATATACTTTTCTCATAATCAAATTCTAAATATCAGAGATTGTGCATTTTCCTACGCAATCTTGCAGAAACTGCAATGCCTTTAAATCCCTTTCAACCTCCTCGTGGTGCTATTAAAGAGAAGTATTCTTTTATGTCTACTGAAATGGCCCTCTCCAATAACTATGCCAGTGGCCTCACATCTGACCACTCGCAACACTTCCCTTATACCCTGAAAGCTCTTAGGATTGTTCTGTTTTCATTTTGGTCTTTAAATGATTCTCTAATCAATGTGCTAATCTTATTTCCTTGGGTTAAGAAAATTATTGATGAGCAGTTAATGAAGCTCTGCCTCAGGTAACTTAATTGAAAGTGCCAGAGAACATAATTTAATTCCCAAATTCCCCTAGTCATTCCATCTAACACTGAAGCCCCACACTGGAAAGTCTGCTACTTGAAAACTGGCCAAAGTAAGTCACTGTTAGGAGAAGATCTGAGGTTCCAACTTATGAGAACTCATAAAAGTTTAATCAAATTATGTAAAATATTTTATCTCACTCTATTTATAGTGATGCAGTCCCTTACCTCTAGTCCAATCAGACTTCAGTCCAATCACTCTAATAATAGAGTCCTATTTAAAAGTCATTACTGAAGCAGTGAATCTGAAGAAATGAGCACCATATTACAGGAACCGTTTTTAAACTGAATGAGCTTGCAAATTTAGACACCAACTATTCCTCTGAAATTCCTACATATGGAAACATCTAACTTTTGTTTCTGACTGACATTATCTTTCAAAAATAACACAGGCTGAAGAATCCCTTGACATCCTAGACCTGCGGGTCTAAGGGGAAGAGGGTAGAACAAAGATTTAGTTGAAAAGACCCAGATTATAACCCCAGCTCTGCCAGGAGCTATAAGCAAGACGAAAATCACAGAGCTTTTCTGAGCTTCAAGTCTTTCTTCATGAAAACATGAGGGTTCGAGAACCCTCCCAGAAGTTACTCAAGAGTACTAAACAAGCTAGTGGACATAAAACCTTTGGAAAATAAAACTTATTTAGTATTAGAACTGATACAAGAAATATTCCTACTATTGTCTGGTAAATCTTACAGTAAAGCCTCCCAGAAACAACAGCCAACCATGTGAGAAATGATAATAAAATCCACAAAAATTCACTACTGAAGTTCTCCCCATTAATGGGTGAATAAAATGTTTGCAGCAGGTTCTTCTGGGCAAGGCAAGGTTTGTCATAATGCTGAAACTTAACCACTTTTGCTAAAGTCATATAATTTCAGTTAAGGAGTTGTGCAAATACAAAGAGTAACTGGTATTAACAGAGAGAGGTAAATCTTATTGCTTCAAAATTCATTTAATTTTTGTTCTTTACTATTGACTAAATTGGCTAACTGCCTTCAAGGACAGCCTCCACAAGGGCTCTATGAAGAGTACCAGTTCTCCCTCACATATTAGACAAGGAATACGCCTACTTTATCATTTAGGTGAAGTGTTATACCTTATGTTACCTTATTAAACTACCCATACATACATGCTACACATAGTCAAAACAATCCTATAAAATAGGTAATGTTATAACCAACAGATAAAAAAAAACTAATACTTCTAGCTAGTAGTAGGTGGTAATGATTAACCTAAATCTATATGACTCCTAGACCTCTTTGTTTTTAAATTTTAGGCTTCCAGTTCTGATCCTTTTAAAATATAATGTATCGTCTTCTTTTCTCAGCATCAATTGTCAACAAAGATCTGAGGAAAATTTAGGAGGGGCAAGCACACAGAGCTGCTGCATTCTTCGCACCCAGCATGCAGACACCCTACACAAACACTGGCAAAGATTATGATGCAAATGGATTCACCTAAGAGCTGGTGATAGAATTGATTTAGTGTAAAAGCAATCTCCAGAAAGACTCCACCCACAAATAAGCCCCACAATAAGAGGTCAGAATTCGCCAAACCATTCAAAGCTTAAAGCCACCAAGTCTCAGGACAAAGTCTGCACAGCAGCCCAAGACCACAGACAAATGTCTCTTCCCAGACTCTGTCCTCCTCTAACAAAGCTCTTCTAACAATATTCAGCAGGTGATAACTTCAGCTGACCTCCAGTGAGCAGACAGTTTCTCCTCAGTTCCATCTGCCTTCACCACAGTGACCCACTCGGCATCCCAGGCCTGTCCTGCTCCATGTGTCTATGTACCCTGCATCTGTTATCTGAAATCATTCACCATTGGACCATGATTTGTGCACATATGTGTAATTGAGAACTTTATCAAGGATCTTTCCTTTCAATCACTGTATCTTCCTCCTATCAGCAATTAGATAACAGTTTAAAAGAACTAGATCTTCAATGACAGTTTAAAAGAACTCCTCGATCTCCTGACAACCAGAGTCAGGAGCTGTCTGAGAACCAAGGCATCCTGTACTCCCTCTGCAGGAGCTTCACTCTGTCACTGGAAGACTGAGGACAACAATGCAACAACATGCCATGCTAGAAACTTCACCAAACAATGAGCCATTTCCACCTAACACACAGAGATAAGGCGAAAATCATAGACACTCAACTTCTCTTAAGATTTCCAGTGTAACTTCAGCCCTGCCACATGCCGTGGTCAGAAAATCTGGCCTCCTTTCTCCTCCTCCACCTGTGGCCACAGATACCTCAAATGTTCTGAGAGGATCTATTGGATGGAAGCCTGTTTAACTCTGCTTAACTCCACATTTCCCAAATAGTATTTGACCATGGAAGCTTGCTGATATAACAAATTTACATCCCATAAAACAGTACTGTGTGGGACAACATATTAGGGGAAGGATTACAGTAGACAGTTCCCTAAATTCCTTAGCCCAAATGTAACTACAACAAAAAACAATTTTAGGCCTCATCAGAGATGGCACTTAAGAGCTCATGGTAGGGAGGGTGGTCAGCAGCATGTTCCAAAGACCACATCAGAAAGTGAAGAGCTGAGCAATGACGCAGGTCCTACAGTCTAAGGGTGCCCCAAGAGCCAGGCACGTAACATCAATGAGGGAAGTAGCCAGGTGTATGTCAAAAAAGGTGCATGTGTGTTGGGGGATATGGGGGTATTTGGAGATAATCTACTGTCCTGTCTAAAGGGGAGAGTAATTACTCGGTTCCTGCCTATTGCCACATGGGGAATGATGCCGGATCTCCCGTTTCTTAGTGAATCCCAAAATTCAAATGGTATGTAACATGAACCAACTTTTAAAGCCATGTGGATTAAACAAAATATATTTGTGGCCACAGATGTGGCCACATTTGCAAAAAGATAACAGGTATTAATTAAAGAGTTCACACTTATGACAATAATTTAAGAGGGATAAAAAGAGCAGCAGTTTTGGAGACAAGCTGTAAACACAAAATCAGTGATTGTAAGCTTCAGGCAGAGTAAACTACTATAACCCAATAAAAGGTTTGCCCACCACTAAATAGCTTATCAGGTACTACATAAATGTGCCTAGTAACTGGAGTGAGACTGTACAGGTGGCATGAACCTAACAGGAATTGACTCTACATGCATGTTTTATCACCCTGTTCCTTCACTGTGTAGAAATTCAATATGCAAATGGCCAAAGAGATATAAACAAAGTAAAATGGAAAAATGCAAAGCCTGAATAATAATGAAAATTGAATAACCAACTCCAGAATAAGTGAATCTAGCACAGCCCTGGACAAAACTATGTGACTTCTTAAGAGGAGCCTCTGGGAGGCAGCAGAGTGATGAGGAGGCTGTGCTGGAGGTTCAGCCACTTGCAGGCACATCTGCCAATCCCACAGGTGATGGTTCTATGAGCTGCAGCAAAGGTGATCTGGTAAAACACTTGGCTTTGTCCACCAAGTAGAACAGCTAGAATCACTTGCCCGTAAACACTAGAAGCTGCTACAGTGTCAACACTGAGGATGAAAAAGGCCCTGGATGACCAATAAAACACTTCCAACTGAAGACACAAAACAGTCAAGGTTTTTTTCACTCTGTTTTATATATTTCAGGGACTACTTTCTCATTTGTTTACACAAAAGCCAAGCTAGCCATAGAAAAACAGCTGGTTAATTGACACACAGAGATCTTACTAATCATATTTTATGGCACCTTCATATAGTAAAAGAAAAGTCTATATAGC